GGTACATGAGTAAGGTTCCAATTTATATGTACTTACCAGATGTATGTGTAGTAAGGAAGATGGTGACCCCGAGACCCCATGTCATGCATGTGGCAAGCAAGTGGTGGTAGGGCTAGGGTTCCTACCGGCTCTACTCCGTAGGTTATACGGGCAGAATAGCGAGGGTTGGGGGCGAGGGCGGCGGCTCCGGCGTGTTGGCACCGTCGCGAGGAAGAAGAAGGGCGGCGGCGGCTAGGGTTTGGTGCGGCTAGGGTTTCCGGCTCCTCTGGAGCCGGGCAATATGATAGAACTATCTTTATTGCTTAATCTCAAAAGGTATCTTACAACTAATATTTATAACCTCAAAACGACTAGCCTAAGATAACTTGCGTAAGAATTAACCTAAGATAACTTGTGGGCTAAGATTGCCCGGTGGGCCTCTACGGCCGTAACACTTCTCCCCGCCTGCACAAACAGCTCGTCCTCGAGCTGTAAGGTGGGGAAGCGCTGGCGGAACTCCTCGAGGCGATCAACCAGCGTCAAACACCTTCTCGACAGCTGGGGCGGCCAGGTCGGCGGCGACGGCATCCTCCGGAATATAGTCTGCAACCTCCAGGTAGAAGAGTCGCGGGCAGGCATGGCCGGGCGTGTAGGGCTCGTCGCAGTTGAAGCACAATCCTTGGCGGCGACGCTCGAGGAGCTCGGCTGAGGTGAGCCGGCGGAACGGGCGTCCCGCGGTCGCGGCGAGGGGTGCCGCAGAAGCCTGCGTAGGCCGACCCTGCGAGGAATCCAGCCCTGGTAGCGACCCAACGGTTCGGGACGGTGATTCCTGCTGGATGGCCACCGCGCGGCGCTCGAATGCGCGGGCGTAGTACATGGCCGACTGGAGATCCTGGGGTCCGCGAAGCTGCACGTCGACGCGAATGTGATCCGGAAGGCCGCCGACGAAGAGCTCAGCCCGCTGCAGGGCCGTCACACCTGGCGCGTGACACGCCAGGGCCTGGAAGCGGTCGGCGAAATCCTGCACCGTGGAGGTGAAAGGTAGGCGGCCCAACTCGGCCAATCGGCTCCCGCGTAATTGCGGTCCAAAGCGAAGAAGGCACAGCTCGCGGAAGCGCTCCCACGGGGGCATGCCGCCCTCGTCCTACTCGAGGGCGTAGTACCATGTCTGGGCGGCCCCGCGGAGATGGTAGGAAGCCAGCCAAGTGTGCTCCGACGTGGGTGTGCGCTGCCCGCGGAAGAACTGGTCACACTGGTTGAGCCAGTTAAGTGGGTCATCTGAGCCGTCATAAGTGGCGAAGTCGAGCTTGGCGAACCGGGGCGGCTGCTGGTTTGGCGCGCCATGGCCCACTGCCTCGGCGGGGCGGAGAGCTGATGACGGTGCTTGGTCCATGGTGGGAAGGCCGGCGTAGGCCCCCGTGGCCCCCGACGCCCCGGGCTACAACTGGGACCCCGACGGCTCCCGGGTCTCCGTGTAAACCGGCGGAGGCGATGTCCCGTGGAGCCAGCCCAGAAGCGGAGATGGTGACGATGGGAACCGGACCTCCTGGATCGAAAGACCGCCTGGCGCGGACCAGCCCAGACTAGGGCGGGGCGGTGGCGGCGACGGAACCTGCACTGTGGCCGCCGGGAGGGACGGCGAGGCGGTGGGTGGCGCGGCCCAGGCTGGCCACTGCAGGCCCTGGGCGGCTGCTGGTGGCGCGGGTGGCGCCGCGAGCGCTGGCGTCGGCCATTGGGGCCAGGGCGGCGTGGAAGCGGCCGGCGATGGTAGAGCCGGGTAGCCCCCGACGATGGCCGCGGGGACGGAGTAGGCCGGCCACTGCAGGCCCTGGGCGGCTGCTGGCGGTGTGGGTGGCGTCGCGAGCGCTGGCGTCGGCCACTGTGGCCAAGGCGGCGTCGGAGCCGCCGGTGAGGGCAGCGTCGGATAACCCCCGGTGATGACCGTGGGGATGGAGTACCATGGCAGCGCCGGCTGTCCCGCGGTCACGGCCGGATGAAGCTGCGGGGGCGGCCCGTACGGGCTAGCCAAGTAGAGGCGGATGCCCTGGACCTCGGCGACGAGGTCGGTGAGGACGCCGGCCATTGCCTCCGGTGTGAACTGCTGCGTCTGCGCGGGAGGTGATGGCGGCGGCGTAGGTTGGACGGGAGCTGGTGGCCGCCCGTGGCCCGGCGCGGTGCCGGGTGCCTGGAGGGGCGGCGCCGAGAGCGACGCCGTGACGTCCGCCAGGAGCGAGGCCGTGGCGCCCGGCGCGGAGGCGGCGGCAGTGGAGGAGTTGGCGGCAGCGGCGGTGGTGGAGTTGACGGGCAGCGGCGGTGGTGGCGGCGGTGGATTTGGAGGTAGAGAAGACATGGTCGAAACCCGGGTACCTGATACCAAATTGGTAGGGCTAGGGTTCCTACCGGCTCTACTCCGTAGGTTATACGGGCAGAATAGCGAGGGTTGGGGGCGAGGGCGGCGGCTCCGGCGTGTTGGCGCCGTCGCGAGGAAGAAGAAGGGCGGCGGCGGCTAGGGTTTGGTGCGGCTAGGGTTTCCGGCTCCTCTGGAGCCGGGCAATATGATAGAACTATCTTTATTGCTTAATCTCAAAAGGTATCTTACAACTAATATTTATAACCTCAAAACGACTAGCCTAAGATAACTTGCGTAAGAATTAACCTAAGATAACTTATGGGCTAAGATTGCCCGGTGGGCCTCTACGGCCGTAACAAGTGGCATGTATGGAAAGAAAAATAGTTGTATAGGGGGACTCGGTAGAGGCCTGCATGGTTGAAAGAAACACACGTTGGTCAGATTATTATGCAGGAAAAAAAGAAAGGGTAATTGTGGGACCTGGGAAGTAATGTGGGGAAACTAGTTGCCATTACCTTGGATCAGTCCAAAGGTTGTAGTTTGATTTTTGAGATGGTTCCCACTAACCCGCTGCACTATTGTTTTAGCTCTTCGTTGCCGCAGTAGCTGACATCCAATTCTTGAAGTGATTTGGGGAGGCCATCCTTGGGTAGTGACCGGACGACCGGACATGACCAGACCACTAACTTATTGAGGTTGGTAAGCTTGTGCAGCCCTTCAGGGAGTTGCTGAAGCTTGCCGAATGCATCAAACATGAGTTGCTGTAGGGAGGCAAGGAGGTGAAGGGTATCCTCTTGCCCCTTGGTGAAGCGCTCAGTCTTTTCGTCCCCTCGAAGGCACATGTGGGTGAGGGACAGGAAACTGTGGATGGGCGCAGCAAGGAGTCCCACAGGGTCATCTGTCCAAAGCTTATGCAGTTTGGATGAACTCGGGGTGGAAACAAGTTGTTGCAGCTCCTGCTCTTCTCCTCCTTCATCCTGCAGCACCCGCCTGGGATTGTGATCCCATCCAGCAAAGAATCTAGCACTGCCAAGGACGGTCAATTCTCTGAGTTGTCCCCCAGCGGTAAGGAGAGGCCCCAGGCCCTTGCATCTTAGATCCTCTCCGCAATACCACAATTCTAACTGGATGAGAGAGGTGAGGTTTGAGAGCTGCTCCAGCGTCTCCATGCCTTCCGCACCGGAAATCTCAAGGACTTGCAAGGAAGGAGATGAAAACAAGCCAACGGATAAGAGGAACTTGGGGCTGAACCGAATTTGTAACCTCTGGAGGGATCGCAGGGCTTGGAGCCCACCTCCACCTCGGGCAGGAACAGAAGTTGAAGGGGTGTCCACCAGGACCAGCTCTGGGCATTCCTCGATAACCAACTGCCGTAGTGAGTCAGAGAGATGGGCTGGGAAGAGCAGCAGCCCATCGTCTTCTTTCTCCTGCTCCACCTCTGATGTTGTTACTGACGTTGTGTGTTGCAGATCCACCCCCACTGCCAGTTGTGTTATTTCACACTTTATGATCCTCAATTGGGAGAGCCTTGGGAGGTGGGAGAGGAGCTCTGTCAAGTCCTTCCCACTAGCACTGCGTGATTCCTGGACAACAAGATGCTCAACAGGATGCTGCCATTCCACATCACCCTCACCTCCTAGCCCAACCACACCATTCAAACCCTCTGCAACCAATGTCTTCAGTGAGGTTAGCATCAGAAGGTGCTTCGACTCCAGAGGTGGGCACTTTTTGAGAGTTAGCTCCTCGAGCCCTGTCAGTTTACTGAATGATATCACCTGATCTAAGCTCTGTAGATCATCCTTCCCAGTAATAGACAAATAGGATGATTCTGAATTGTACCCAAGCATCACTAGTAGCTTTACATCATTTATATTGACACGACATAGAGTTTCAGTCCAGGGGATGTGAGCCACTAACATCAATTCTGGACAATTTTGTATCTTCAGGTCTTGCAATTTGGGAAACCAATCAATGTTCCAGTCTTCATCTGGTGGGTAACCAATGTGGTTTGAAAATGGCAAATCCAAGAGTTTAGGGCAGTGTCTGATAATCAGTACTTGCAGAAGAGGAAACATATGAGAGTCATGTGATGGTACCCATTTTTCAAAACATCCCAAGCCAACAAGTTCAAGCCTTATGAGCCTACAAAAGCTTTGTTCCGTAACAAACTCCTTCATTGTGTCAATATGCTTCAATATTAATTTACCAAGATCCCACATCTTCCCCAAATGAGGAAGATGTTCCCAAGAAACACCAGAGAGATTAAGTGATTGAAGAGCTTCAAATACGAGCTTATCACCCAACCATGTTGGACAACAAGGGCCTCTGTGCCCTCTAATGCACAACTCTTGAAGATATCTGTGTGGTTGAAGGCTCTCAATGACAGCTGCTTCCACACCAGGCTCGGTATGAGACCGCTTACTGTCCCAATCCAATGTTAACCTTTCCAAGTATTTTTTCTCTATCAGTTTTGCTTTGGCTGCTTCTTCTTTCATGTGTATAGTCTCAAGGTTATACATGCCAAGCTCTCTTAGTTCTGTCAAATGCTCTAGTTGCTTTGGTTCGAATCCTTCACTTTCTTTATTGACTTTAAATACCTTCAACTCTTCTAAGAGTACAAGTCTTCCAACATTAAAAATACCAGAATGCAACTCATCACTTGGGGTATAAAAATGGTGCAATTTTGCAAGGTTGCTCAAGTCTTTGGGCAAATCACGACAGCAGTACCATGATTCTAGATCCAAAATCCTTAAATGATAAAATCTAGAAATTGTAAGTGGTAAATGCATCTCCCTCTTATACTTTGTCCCCAAACACAGGTATCTTAGGTGGAGAAGTGCTGAAAAGTTATGTACCATGGACTCCACTGAAGACGGCATGTTAACCAAATGGAGAACGCGAAGAGCATTTGCTTCACTAAACAAATCACCCAAAATGTTTGTAAAGCTTTCATCCATTTCTCCAAATAACATCAAAGTGTGCAATTGTTTAACCTTCAATTTTTTCTTCAGCTTTTTGAGTTCACTCTTAAAGTTTTCATGAGACATTGTATCATCATCATCTATGATTAGAGACAAGTGACGGATGGATGGCTGAATTCCCAATGACCCTATGTTGGAGCAATGTAAACTAATGCAATCATGAGATGCAACTTGCAATGCTAAATCATGTAGCAGATCATGCATTACATATTGCGGACGCCCATTAGATTTCTCTTCTCTGAAAAACCCATGTGTTACCAAATCATTTAAATTGCTCAAACCTATGTATTCAAATGTTTGGTTTAGAACATCGGGTTGTAATATATCTAGTCCTATCCACAAGTTGATCAGTTGGCTGCTGTTGAAATGGAAATCTTCAGGAAACAGTGCAGAATAGCAAAAACATTGTTGCAAATGGAAAGGGAGATAGTCATAGCTGAGCTTCAAGGCAGGCATAATATCATTGACACCGGTCTGCCTCTCCCATTCTTTACTTTCTAGGACCCTTTTCCAGTGACGCAAACTAAGGTCTTTCCTCAGTAATCTACCAACAGTTTTTGCTGCAAGTGGGGATCCCTTCAGTTTTATCATTATCTTATCTCCGGTCTCAAGCAAAAAACTATGATCCCTTCTAGACTGGTCATCACCAAAGATAAATGCATGGACCAACTCCCTAAAGTATTTAGGTTCCAAACCTTCTAATTCTATTGAATGGTCAGTTGTTCCAACCATCTTTGCTATTGATGGAAACCGAGTTGTGACTAGAATCATGCTACCATTTTCTTGTGATATTTTAAGTGGCAACAATAACCTTTCCCAGTCATCCTCATTACTACACTCCCATATATCATCCAATACAAGCAAAAACTTTCTAGATTTTAATCTTTGTGCAATCAGCTCTTCTGGTCTATCCCCCCTTTCCCCTTCAACCGGAGGGATATCTTTTTTAATATCTTCAAGCAGCTTATTCAAATTGAAATTGAGGGATACACATACCCAAATCATTACTTGAAAATGATTTTGCACTTCTTTATTGTGATATATGTGTTGTATGAGAGTTGTCTTCCCTATCCCCCCTGGACCAACAATTGGAAGCACAATTAGATCCTTGCTATGGCATTTACCCTTGGTCATATCATGTATGATGTTAATCATGATGTCATCCCTCCCATACAATTTTGGCTCTATACTTTGACTGGTGGTGATGGGATGACTCTGGCCAATATTTGGGACAGTAATGGGGTCACAACTTTGCATAATCTTGGTAACCTCTCTGCGCACAGGTTGCAGTTGCTCTACAATGTGCTTCATTCTTTCAGAGACAACAACCCTATTAAACCCCACCGTTGGTGTTTCTCTCTCTGGTGCACCACACAGAGCTAGCTGGCTGGAATGATCACCATGAACATGTGGAAGAGATGAGCAAGGGATGAGTTTACCGAGCTTGGGCATGCATCCGCTGACCTCCTGATTGGCATTTGGCATTGTCGAGGAGTTTCCATTTGACTTCTGCCTGGCACGTGGCCAAGCACAACAGCCGGCCTGGTGTCTTGCATCTTGTACTTCTTCAGGATCACCTACAGGGCTGGCAGCAAACGAGCTTGCGGATATACCAACCAGTTTGCCAATGGCTTTGGCAGCATGACGAGCATTGAGGGCAAGGTTGTGGACGCCGCCCTTGGGATGATGTGCAGCAGCGTCATACGTGCCATGGAGGTCATCATGGATGCGGAAGTAGTCCAGCTCGTCCAACAAGTCCTCGGCACAGTGCGCTGAGTGCCTCAGCTTTCCCAGCAGCTCCTCCATCGCCTGGCCGTCAATATTCTTGCAGCCAGCGGTTTCAAGCGTGGCCTTCACGAGCAACAGTTCCATCCTTAGGGCCTCAATGTTGAGACCGAAGTTGTTGCTGGCATCCCAAGCCTCCAGGACGCCATCAGCTACGGGGGCCAGCGCCTTGCGCACTACCCATTGCGCTGCATTGAGGGCCACAAGCATCCTCTCCTTGGGAGTGCCAATGTATTATGTATCTGCGATGTGAGGACCTACATCCATCCAAGAATCAAGAGAAATTTGTTTGTTAATGCACAACAATTACGTAGTGGTCAGAGGTCGAGTTTGAGTGTACGGAGCTCCAGAGAAAGAACTAATAAAAAATTAAGTCCAGAAAATAGCAAATATCATCCATGCCAAAATAGTTTATTCGTTCATGCAAAAGACAATATCTCGCAACTCATTATTCCTTCAGAAACCATGTTCAAGTAGTAGTTTAGGAAGTCAGCCTTTAAACATAATTTAGATCTTTCTTACTTCTAAAGATTTGAGTTGGTGGTGCCCATCCATCCTCCTCCTCCCCATGGGACCACTGAATTGAAATAAAAAGCGAAGCGTGGAACTTAAACTCGGGATGTTTCATGTCTCCACCTAGCCACCGCTGCTCTTTCCCAATAAAACACCATCCTCCGGCCTACTCTTCTGTTCAATCGCCGTTCTCTGACGTTTCAAATTTGAAACTCGCATGGCCCCCTCAGTTTCTCTAGCATCGTCTCGTGGATGGGTTGTTGCTACACCGTATCACGACAGCAGCGACGGCTGCTCCCCGACAACAATTTCACAGGTCAGGTTGGACACGAACCAGACCGAGCCAGCCAAAAGCTCGCCGGCGACGCCAAGCCGGGTGTCAGCTCGGTGCCCGGCGAGCCCCACTACGAGGCTCGGACCGACCAGCCCTCTGGCCCAGGCCAGCTCGCCGGCCCCGCCGACGATGGTCACTGCCAGGTGAGACCATGATGCGATGGCGTCGGTGTTGGGGGCGTGGTCGTGGAGGCGGAGCACCGGAGCGTCGTGGGAGGCGTGCTCGTGGTGTGGTCAAGGTCGTGGAAGAGGAGAAGCACCACCGCGGCGTCCCCAGCCGCCGGCACGGACACGCTGAGCACGAGCAACTCTGACCCTGGCGACCGTGCGTGCGTGGCCTCGGAGACAACGGCGTGGCGGGATGGCCGGGTGTACAGTGGCGGCACAGGGCGACGACGGGACGACGACGGCATGGCGGAGTGGCAGAGTCCAGCGGCGCGGCGGATGGATCCGTGCGTGCGCTAGCGGCGGCGGCACGGTGGAGGGCGTGTACGCTTTTGGGCTGCTTTTATATTTTTTAGGTCAAGCTTCGTACGCAATTGGGCTGCTTTTCCTTGGGCAACGTAATTGGTCTTCTCATTTAGATGGGCCGGGCACAGACGAGCATGATGCTTCCTTTGGTTTGCAGGGTAGAATTAATCATAGGAATGGTAAATCCTAAAAAGAATATAGAAATAGGAATCTCTATAAAGACTTATATTTAGGAATGGAGGGAGTAGGAAATAAAATACATGTATCTCAAATTCTATGAGTAGGAATAAAAAAAAGATATCATTTGGTTTTACGGGGTGAAGAGGCCTCATCCATCTGAAAATCAGGGGTGGACAGAATTAAAGAATGGCCCGTAATACTTCGTAATGAGCCTATTAGTTTAGTATTTTCGCTCGGTGGAGGGCAAGCACTTTTCTAGCGCTCCCGCCGCCATGTGAGCGGCGTCAAGCATGTTGAGCGCTTCTCCATTGAAAAGTTTTCCTTCAGGTTTTTTGATTGGTTTTTGTTTCATTCCTGAATTTTGTTTTTTGTTTTTTGGGTTATAGTTTTTTATCCCTGGTTTTTCGGATTTTTGTTTCCCTTTTTCCCTTGGTTTCTAGTTTTTTTTGTTTTACACCTGGCAAGTATGTACACTTTTGTATGCTTCAACAAAAATGAAACATAAATGGAGCAGATCTAGGTTCCCAACTCCCAAACTTTTCCCAACCCTCCCTGCACGCCACTGCCTCGGTCTCCCTCCTCCTCCCCATCCGATGGCCTTGTCGGTGGCAAGAGTAGTGGTTTTTTGTCCTAGTATTTTTTTTTTCTCAGGCTACATCGATGAGGTGGTGGCGGCGATGACGTGTTGGAATAAGGTCTCTTCCTACCTCGAAGACGTTTGATTCGGTGGCGGCGAAGGGCATGTGAGAGTTTATGTTAGAGGGTGTTTGTTTCCAGGGACTTATTGGCTTAGGGACTTAAAAAAGTCCCTATAAGTCCCATCTAAACCAAACAGGAGGGACTTATAGGGACTTAAAGTGGGCATTTGGGACTTATGACATAAGACTCTCAAGGAGGGACTTATAGGGACTTATAGTTGTAATATGGTCTTATAGGGACTTATAAGTCCCAGGAACCAAACAGGTAGGGACTTTTTAGGGACTTGGGAATTATAAGTTAGGACTAAAAAAAGTCCTAGGACTTATGAACCAAACAGGGCCTTAGTTTCCTTCGAATCTTGGCAGCTCATGTGTTTTTAAAGCAGAGCTATTGGATGGCTATTGGCATGGCAAGTTCGACATCTTCTGTTGTTTTGTGACTTGACCTAGTTTCTCTAACCCTCTTAACTGGTGGTGATGGATTGCAAACCTATTCTGCGCGGGTTGATGCTCCAGCCGTTGTTGCTTCAATGATTTATAGATCTCATCCTGAGGAGCGAGTGGTTATTGCGGTCTTTAAAGCCTGGTATGGGAAGGGTGTTTGCATGTGTCGCCTTCCTTTACTATTGGTTTGGTGCAATTTCCATCTCCTGCAGGCGGCGTACAATCACAAGAAGAAGAAGAAGACTAGTAGGCTTTTCAATGTACTTTTATGTTTTAGTGGTTGTTCTACATCAAGCTGTCTATCCATTCTCCTGGCTTTCATTTTCCTTGATACTAATCAGATATAAGATGCTCTTTGAGTGACTTTATCCAAACGAATAAAGTGAAACACAGATGTGCTTTGCATGCAGCACAGTTGTGTTTTCTCATGAAGTACAGATTGTGCTTTTATGCTTCCCCGCATAGTTGTGCTTTTGCGTGAAGTATAAGTTATGCTTTGTACTTCCTTGTACAGTTGTGCTTCTGGGTGAAGCACACAGAAGCACAGTTGTGCTTTTGTGCTGCCAAAAAGTGAAGCACAGTTGTGTTTTACCCCACGGTACGGTATCAAAACTTAGTTCACTTGGATTTTAGATAGATGCAAATGGGCCCTTCCAAAACAGATAATATTTGCAATCATCAAAATTTTGCTTCTTGGACGCTTCTTGCTGGCATATTGAATATATATCATTAACCCTTGATAAAATCTTTCTTGTGTCGACTAATAATATTTGCTTATCATCTGATGCCTTGTATTGACATGATCTATGATTTATTTTTTCTTGTTGCATACTTTATCTATCTTCCTGTGCAGCCTAGGGTGGCAAATGATGTGAACTATCATGCTAGACACTGAATCTTTGATATGTTTACAGAACTCCGCTTATTTACCGCATGATACCCATCCTCAAGTTCTTAGTTGGATTTTACTTATTTCTGAATAACTGAACAAGGATAAACTATTTTTGGCTCTACTTTCATATGGTTCCGGTTCTACGGGCAGCTTACTATTTCTACGAGACTCAATCGCTCGAACTCTCCCGATCGACTGGATTTGCAGCTCAAACTGGCAGTCGGGTGGGTAAAAAGTGTCGGGCCAGCTGCTTAGTTAATGATTCTTTGCCTGAAAGAGGCTGCGCTGGAGCGGGGCGCAACGGTGCAGCGGCGGGTGCTCTGGGCGTGGGCGGCGGCGCGCGTGGTTGCGGCGTGGCGCGCGGAGCTTCCTCTTGCAGCGCGGCGGCTGTGGTCTCTGGTGGTGCCGCACCCGTCAGATCCGGGCAGATCTGGCACCGGCAGCCCGGCGGGGGGTGGGGGCTGCGTGCGGCCTGGACCACGGGCGACCTTCCCTGCCGTGGGGAGACATCTCCCACCTTCCCCCCCCCCACCGCCGCTGCTCCCGCGAGCTACGCGGGGGAAACCCTAGCCGCCGGCTCTCCACGCCCTCCCTCCCTCCTCCTTCCCTCGCCGCCGCTGGCAAGGGCCAACGGGCGAAGCCCGGCTGGCTTCGGCGGCGGGGGGGCCTCATTCCCCTCCCCTCGCCCTCCCCCGGCTGGCGCAGGGATAGCCCGGGTGCATGGAGGCGCTGCGCTGGAGCAGGGCGCAGGGGTGCGGCGACAGGTGCTCTGGGCGGCGGCTCACGTGGTTGGGGGCGTGGCGTGCGGAGCTTCCTCTTGCGGTGCGGCGGCTGCGGTCTCTGGTGGTGCCGCACCTGTCGGATCCAGGCAGATCTGGCATCGGCGGCCTGGACCACGGGCGACCTTCCCTGCCGTGGCCGGTGACTGGCGGGCAGGTGGCGTGGCGGTGGGGCCTCCAGTTTGGGTGGCGTAGGTGCGGTGGCGGCGGCCTCCTCAGGCGAGGGCGCCCCTCCCTGACGACGGGAGGAGGTGGTGCTGATGGTTCCGGGTGCTGGACTTGGCCGTGCGGCGGCGAGTCGGCGGTGAGCATGGATCTGGATTTGAAGACGGCGACCTCCGCGTTCTTTGGTCGCCC